CAATCCCGAAGGCATGAGATAAGTGCATATAGTCGGTTGAAACTGACTATAATTTCCCAGCACGCAAATACTAATGGCACAGCATGAGGCTTTCATGAAATATTAACAATGGACTTATAACTGCATGGTTTATTAACTACACCAGCAATTATGTCAGCAAGAACTTGCTGTACACTTGCTGATTCTCTGGTCAATACAAACTGAACTTTTCAATATTGGTAAATGGGGGGGGGGGGGGGGGGGGAGGGGAGGTAGACAGTGCTTCTACCTTCTCTAGAAAAAGAAGAGGATTAATTTTGATGTTTTGAGCTTTATGCTCAAGTCGTCAAGTCAAGTAATCTTTATTATATCCCACAGGGGTAATTTAAAATGCTACTCCCATTTAAAAGTTAGATTCAAATTTTAAAGGAACTATTGAATGAAATATAAAGCAGTTCCTGCAAGTATTATTGTTAAAACATTACACTGATGCACTGTATCGTTTGAAGACTGAGAAGATTGGGCTGAAATGAAATAAGGCACAAAAATCCACACTAAATGGCATGAATTTAACAATGAAACACACCCCTTGCTTGTCTCCATTTTTTCGTTTTAACAATGTATTAGAAAAGTGCACGCCACCTCGTAATCTTGTTGAATAGTTTGAGCTGCTAGTATGAGACTGGCAATTATGATCAGGCACGTAGGACAGTTAAAAGCTGCATCAGGTTCAAATACAAAATAAAAAAAATTGAAACGATTTGGGAATTTCATCTCTTGATCAGTTTGAGCTAGCTCCATACAACACATGTCATCCGTCAAATTGCTAGAAACAATTTGTTTGGATACTTTGAATCGAAATTTTGCAGGTAGTTTTTATGCACATTTTTATATTCTGGTAGGCCTACATATTGCACAGCCTGTACATATTTTTTTCCTTTATAGTTTATGGCATTTATATACCAACTTAATTTACCAGAGATTTATGGTGTAAAATAAGTAATAAACGAAACAGACTACCAGTAACAGCACACCATACTGTCACAGCTAGATGTCCAATGAATAAATCATTATTTAATGACGCCCTGGAACAGCATTTTCTAAAAACATACTGCCCCTGGACGATTTACTGTCGAGCTGTTAATTCTCTATTTCCCCTGACATACATTCGCACCAGTTACCATAAGACAGTAGTCACCAGTTGTGGCCATACATCAAGATCAAAATATAGTAGTCTCCATTAATGTCGAAAGCTGTCTGAAAATTGCAAAGAGATGATTTTTTTTAGTTTTAAGGGTTTTTTAGGGTGTGGTGGTCGGGAGTGGGGCTGGGGCTGGGGCTGGGGCTGGGGTTGAATTTGGGTGGTTGAATTGCTTGATGTTAAACCTTGCTTTTACCTATACATTCACACACATAATAAATTCTGTTTAATATTTTGTGCCATAGACAACACATTTGTTATTGTTTGGAAAAAAAATGAGACTGTTCCATATCCTTGAGTACATCAACCATGATAAGCCAGTGACAAAACAGATATGGTCTATAAGTAAGAAATGTTAAGTATGCCACTTCACATGTGACGTCCTCAGAGACACATAGACCTCACCACGAAATATTCCGAGATTTTGCGGCATGCAAGTCTGCACGTGTACTGCGTTATACGTCAATTACTCTGCCAGATGCTAACTGCTGAGGCAGATCCCTTAGGCTTATATGATGACTTTTATTAACATGGATCAACTTGGCTTGCGTCAAAAAGCGCTAGAGCAAGTACCAGTTTCGTACTCACAAGCGCTGCACCATGTGCGCCGCTTTTGTTTAAATAGCCGCATTTCAGCATCTCTAATGACAGAGGCACTGGGTTGATTTTCTGGAGGCAGTGTCTGTGTTTCATCCCAAGGCCATCTTTAGGTAACCATGACAACCGTGATGCTGATGGTCGGTATCATGTGTGATGATGCACCGTTGTTGATCTCAATTAGGCGGTGTGCACACACTGTTGGAATGTGTAGTGCTCATTTTGGTGTTTCTGTTGTTTTTATGATAGTGCTTGGGAAATATTATTACTGTGTTTTACATTCCCAATCATAATGTGCACACAGTTGTATTTTAGCATTAAGTCCGAGGACAAGGCATTGTCTTTCCCATTGTCCCTATAATGTAACACTCTCCCATAGACTAAGCACACACACTTACATCCGAGAACCGTTTTCAAAAAAAAAAAAAAGATGCACTCCCAAGAACAACAAAGAATCGTTTCTCCTGAAGATGATCAGAGCATACTGATCAGAACGTCGAGTTTCACAAGCAACCGGTTCTTTTCAGAACCACACATGTTCTCAAAGGAGATTCTTTCACATGGTGTTACAGCAAACCCTGCTGTTCACTCTTTGTGTGTCTGTCCTCGGGATGTATATGTACAAGAGCGTAAAGTCTTTCTCAAATATTATAGTGTGTACATATTAAGATGGTTGGTAAACATAAATATGTTGGAATATACTTTTACTAAATTGTGTCAGATTGATTTAGATAAATCTATTATGATAGTTGGCTTACAATTTTAACTGAAATCAATCAATATTTGTTCAGCTTTATAAACTACACCCATTTCTTTTCAAAACCTACAATTTGAAAGCACATAAAAACACCGAAAAAACTGTGTTTGGGTAAAATTCTGGAAACTTCTTACACTTACAAAAACAAAATTGCTGGTAGCAGAGGGCCAGCCTATAGTGTCCTCATTGCACCTATCCCCTAACTGACTGTCATTTTCGACTTAAGTCCCTATTGGTCTGGCATTAGCTTGACCATTCTTGCCTTTTCTTGTTTTTCATTTTTATGCATCCTGTACAATTTCATTCTTGAGAAGAAGACTTCGTACATTCTTTTATCTATCAGCCCTCAAGCATCAGATGCATCATGCACTTATGCAGGATTAGTGATGCTCCTTGCGTCATATCAGATGTGATTCTCAAGATGTTTTTGTCTGAGTATATCCTTGAGGCATGGAGAAATGAAACACATTTCTCCATGCTTGAGGTAACTAGAGGTTTATAGCCGAGTATGGAGTGAAAGACCCTACAGACATTCACATCAAACTGAAAGCAAAACACTAGTAAATGTGTGCAGGTTCAAATAAGCACAAAACCTGGTTGAAATTAATGCATTTGTAGTTTCATTTTTAAGAGTTTTCTGGGCTTGAATTCTAGATGATGTTCTATTCTCCTCCATTCTTCTTCCTTGGGGCATGGAATTGTCAAAATGATTATGTTGTATATCGCTCATAAGTAAAGTCTGTCACAAGCCACTGGCCAAGCAGGCCGGCATTTATCTCCGGTTTCAGTAGAATGAAACGACTGAGAATATTTCTATTCCCCCTGGATGGGATGCTAGTCCATCGCAGTACTCCCCAGCTAATGCCGGAACCCATTTTTACCCCTGGGTGTCGAGAGGCAAGTGGTGGCGAAGTGGCTTGCCCAGGACACAACATATGACCAGCAGATGGATTCGAACCCTGACCCTCTGATCATGAGTCACTATACCACTAGGATACACTCCTCCAAAGTTTATAAGTGAATCACGATCAAATTACTTTTTCGCCCATAGGAAATGCTCCTATCAATATGAACATGTAAACTGCACACTTTTTGTTATGCAATCGACCATTGTTAAATCCAGCGAATTGTGTAGACCAGATGCATGAAAAGACGTCCACTCTGGGACCAGCCTTACTTAAGGCTTGCCTTGTTACACAAACATCATCCAGCTGCATTTTATCAAAGGAATTTATGTATCTTGTAGTATCTTGCTAATTGCACAAACAACGCTATGCTTTCAAATTTTTAATTGAATAGTGTGAAGTACATCTTTATGAGGTATTGCTCTGGTCGGAGAAATTAACCAGCAGATAGGAAGATCTACGAGAATAATGAGAAGTCTTAATTGTAAATTACCATGGCCGAGGGAAGGATATATATACAGTCCTTGTGTAAGTTTGAGGAAAATGAGTATGTGGATAGCTTAAGAACTAGTAACTAGTATGAAGGGCAAATATTTCATATAGTTGATGCAGGGCTGTTATCAGATATGGAATGCTACCGAAGTATTTATTGCACTCCATAATAACCTGATAAAAACATAACCAGATAAAAATACTTTGCGGTTGTTGTAGGAAAGGCCACAGCAGTTTGCGGATGTCAACCAAGTAAATGATTCCGTGAAGATGATCTTTCCCGGTTGGACGCCGACTCACCACTGAGCGAGTTATGTCGGTAATGCCAGGCAGTGACAGTTGTCCAACTTATGTCAATCTGTGCAGTGAAGGAACGCATCCAGTTTTGCCTGGTTATTAATCATTTCATTCAGCTGAGGGATATGTCAAGTATTTGATCTGAGACCCCAGCTTGATACATGAAAGTGCGGTGTTGTCATATTTACTGCCTTGAATCCAGAAACAAGATTCTGATAATGCTGGAAGTGTTTCAGACAACAAAGCAACTAAGCCCAAGAATTTGTACTCCGCTGTTTTTCTGAAACACTGATGTGTATTTGTAAGAAACTGTATGTTAGTGCGGCCCTCAAAGACAAGACAATAAAAGCTGGTTACCGAGCGCACAAAATTCGATTCTATTGATACACTGGAGGTCTTTTCATGCTCTCTCTGTCTCTTTCTTGGATGTCCTTTGAACGAAGACGCATCACTGTCTGCTCAGCTGTTTTTGATGAAACCACGGAATGCACCCCAATTCTTGAGCCACATAATCTGCCGCAAGTTCTTTTCATGCATCTGTGTACGTATTTGGGCTTGCTTTGGCCCATTCATTAGCATTACAGGTAATCCTATACAACAGCACTGCACGGCTCACAAGTGACAGTCAGTTAGTAAGGAACAAAGAGGACTATAAGCTAACCTCTAAAAGAAACACCAAGATTTTATAGCAAACAATGTTTTTACGGCAAAATCTTTATGGACAAAATCACCATCTTTCATAAAAATAAAACAGGTCGCTAGACAATGCTCGTCTTGTTTGCATAACTGGCAGATCTTTATTTCTTAGCTTGTTTAACAATCCATTCCAATACAGCAATAATAAGTGCAATAAATAGCCCAAGGAATCAATTTGATTCCTTTCAATTTTAAGATTAAGTACACTTTTTTTAACTACACTTAATTTTCCAGAAATTAATTTTATTTAAAAGTCACCAATCACCGTCATTACAAAAATTCATTTGTAAAAATTTTTATGCAAATTTTTTTGTTCTAAAATTCAATTTCTACTATTGCCCCAAAGTAACTCTCGGATGTATTCATCAACTCAGAGAATACAAATCAGATTACAAAAAAATTTTTTTTTACCAACGTGCTTGCTAATTTGGAATCTTTCACACAATGGTGAGAACAAGTAAAAGGTTGTTAGACATACTGATAAATATGTTGTTATTTTCATGATTTCATCAAAAAGAATTTTAAAAGAGATCTTATGAATGAAGGATAAATTCAAGATATGTCCCTTCAAGAAACAAAAACTAAAAAAAAAACCTAGCCTTGAAAGTGACATGAAAAATGAAACACAAATGCACATAAAATATATAACAAGGGAAAAGTAAAGGTTTTATACATAATCAGCTGTCCAATATGGCTGACATTATAATATACTTCACATCATAAAAAAATCTTTAAAATGAATTTCTCCACAATTGCATCATATCTGTTTGATAGTTGTTAAAAATGGTAAAAGTATGCCAAAAGTACATTACACAATAAAACAGTTGTCCACAAATAACTGGCAGAGGAAAATCCTTACTTAAAATTGAGGGTCTTTTTAGGCGTATTTTGGCGCTGATAAATATCCATTTTTATTATAATTATTAAAATATTTGCTCAAGTTAGTATACCGTAGTTGTACATTACAGTGATTAATATTCATAACCATAATAAGTTATCCAAAAAAAACAGGTGACATTAACTGATTTTACAAGGCAACGCTTCATCCACAATTACCTGCAAATATACTCAAGGCCAAATGTTTGGTTTGCAAGAACATCATTTCAATTATACATAATTTTAAAAGTCACATTTCATTTGGTACTTTGGGAATGAAGGGCAAAGATAACGTGGGTAAAGACACCAATTATTTGTTCATTCAACACAAACAATTGGAAATGGAATTTCTGATGGTGAAGTTTGCTCTTAATGCAATCTTTTAAGAAAAAAAATGCCAAATTTTTCTCAAAGACCAGAAGTTCTTGCTTGGGGATTTTTTGGGGGAGGGGTTTCTCCCAAAAACTGGTTGAACCCTTCCATGCAATTGCTTTTCAGAGGACTACATTCCTCCAATCGTTAAAAGTTGGTCGCTTTTGTTACAATCTATTTCTAAAAATTTGACAGGAAATCATCTGATATCAAATTTCTATTGGCTTTTAAATGCATCACGGTGCGATAATTCATTTTCATAAAGGCACTATAAATATATCATTAAATCTCTTCTGTTATCCGATTCTAAGAAAAGCCCAGATAGCCGCTGTTTTTTGTGCATGATTGTCTGCAGTTGTCATATGGTTGTCATTACAATCCTCTAATAGAGCATGAAGTTCAAACCAGGCGATTGAAATTGATGATGTCTTACAGACATAGAAATCATAAGCATTTGTGATCCACTCCATTTAGTACACAATTTACAGCAAATTAGTGCGCACATCTCGTTTGGATTGGTCAATGTCCCTTCTTCTTGAAATGTACTTATAATTTGTTTGCCAAATCAAACTTGCTATAACTGTGCTCTTCAACATGTTTATTTTTGTTTTGTTTTGTTTTATTTAAATGGAAAAAGCTACTTTTTTTTTTTTACATTTCAACCCACAAAAATACCTTTTAACGGTATTTTGGTTACTTTTGCACCCATAAGGCACAAAAGACACCTCCAAATTATTGTTGGGACGCAGATAATTCAAAATTTGAAAAGTAAAATTCTCCAAAACTAAATATTTTACATTGCTACGAAATTAAAAAATGTAAAATAAAATGTTTTGTGTGAGTGTGTGAAACTTGAAAATTGCATGAGAGAGCAGCTTTAAGCAATCAGCCAATTATTGATCTCATTCATCTTGTTGGAAAACCCCTTACAACAGCTGCTCCATGTCTCCTCCATTTCGAATTAAAAGACATTTTAGTTTTGACATCTGTTTCAACAAACCAGCCCTTGTGATGAGTCACCAGAATGTATTTACTTTAAGACTTAACATGCAGCCAAGCATAGCCAGGTGCAACCAAAAATGTACCAATGTAAACCAATATAAGTGACTATTTCTGTCCACCGGACCAGGAGAGTTTTCTCAGATGCCTGTGTTATGGACAGAGAAAACAGCAAACCACTCGGCCTGATGTCCTGCGTTCCTATTGGCTGCTCATGCGTGCATATCACCATGGACCGCTAGCCGCGGCTGCCAACACACACACAGGCAGATGTGATGACATCAAGACGATGCAAGTTAACAAGTTAACCATGACATCCAGTCATGCGTGTGACCTGCCATGCTACATGTATATCGCAGGTAGCCCGCGATGATTAGCGTTATATGTGACAACCTTAAATGCTATCAACCAATCAGAGGCCCGTTTAGGCTGATATCCCACGGAGGCCTACCCAACAGGGGGTTATATCTCAATTGGGAGTCAATGTTAGTTTGACGAAGCAATATACACAGAAACCTTGCAATAATATGACTGAAAATGTTCATGTACTTCACACAATCATTCAGTATGATTGCCGAACATTAGTAACATTAGGCTAGGCCTTGTGATGCTAGGTATTGATTCTAATTATAATCCAGTAATTTATCACTCAAAGTGAATGTTCAGGCATCTCGGCTCAAGGTTGAGAACCGTGAACCTGGCTTTATACAGTACATACATGTACATGTAGCCACGATCCGTTCATACTGTATCTCTGCACTTTCAAAAAATGTCTACAGTAAACATTCGTATGGGCTCCATTTTCCCCTCAAATTTCTTTGGAATGACAGATCCTATACCACTGAAAGTTCTTGGATAAGCTCTTCTGAACGTACTGAACATACAGTGCCCGTTAAATTTCAAGATGGTAAGTGGAAGGTCTCCAACCGGGGTTTTGAAAGTGTCGAAGGTCCAGTGAATATTATAAACAAATCGTGGAAATGAAGTCACGTTCACAGGTCTACTCAAGGTTAAACTTTCATATCAAATAATTGCCCTTCAAGTCTAACATCTGAGTCATGCAAATTAATAGGTAGGGGGCCTATCACTTTACAACATCACAAAAATGAGGTAACTATATCAATCGCAATAATATGCCATAAAATAGCGCAAATGCTGTCAAGCGAAAAAAAAAAAAAAAAAAAGTTTAAAATGCAAGCTGAAAAGCAACATTTGAAATTAATGAAATAATCCATAATGATCAAATTACAAAATGTTAACCAAATTAGCAAACCATTATATTTCAGCAAAATATACAGAAAATAATATCAATCGGCGAAAAAAACACAAATTGCTTTCATATTCATAATCTTACTGAATGTTGCGAATAAGAAATGAGTTACAAAAGAGTTGGAACAGAAAATTGCATTAAAAAAAAGAAATAATTTTGGATGGTTTCATGGGAAATAGAACACGTTTCACTCCTCAGTCACTTATTTCTATCTGCGTAAATTCTTTTTTGATTATGTTTTGTGCTCTTGAATAGGCTGCCTCTAGTATAATTCAAAGTTTATTGAGTATTAATTTAAATTTCCTTAATGGAATAATATGTAGCACTGCATTAGTGATTTTGAATGAATGAAACAATTCACATCCTTTTTACAGTTTTGTTTTTCACCACCAATAGAGCTGTCCCGAATACTCAATCAACAACTGAATATTCAAATAGCTTTTTACCGGTTTGAATATTTGAAGGAAAAAACACCCCCAAACCCCACGTACATGTATATACATGTACACACAAGCCTGTGATGTTATATTAATCGTAAAGTTGCAGCGCTTTTATTGTCACTTTTTTTTGGTCAACGGTAACTTTTTATCGTTGGTAGTTTGCTGTTCCAATTTTGTTTAGCAGATTGAAGCTCTTGACAATTATAACACACTTACTGTAAAACAGTCCAGCGACCTGATATTGATCACCGCATGCAAATTTTAACTGGTGCGTGTTACGTGCAACTTTTGATTAACACGGCATGCAGTTGCAGCTGGCGCGTGCAAAACTTGAGTGAGTTTTGAATATTTGAATATTCGATCAAACACAGTTTCGAATAATCGAATTCTATATTATTTGAAATGGAGAACCTTAACCACCAGGGCTCAAGGTTCAATGTACACACACGTACTCCAGGGGTGTAAGTGAGCACTGATAAAAATAGCTGAAAAAAGGTGTAAAAAAGCTGAACTTTGGAAATCTCCTATACTTTTGTACACAGCAAGTGAGGAAAATAAAGCTGAAAACAAGCTGAAATCCAAAACAAAAAAAGCTGAAATCAGCTTTAAAGCTGAGATTTCACACCCCTGGTACTCATAACTTGAAGTGATGCCTCAAAAGCATTGGAAGACAGTCACAGATCATTTTCTGTGATCTGTGATGATGTTTATGAGTCTGTGATGCAATCATATGGTGTAGAGTGGTGGAATTTGGCGGATTCTGGAAAGCTCCTAGCAAAACTCCACAAGGAGTTAGGAGTTGAAAATATCGAGGGCAACGGAATCAACGAGGTGTTGATCTGAATGTGTCAAATGGCATGACTTACATTAATCCATTAGTAATCACATACCAAGGCCACGCACCTGACTCCATGTGGAGTCCATTAAGAATGCGCACTACAAAAGCGTTATCAGTTATGCTTCATGGTTACAGCTTTTGACAACAAAAATGTCTTTGGTTGTCATCTCAATCACCAATGTGTATGGTTTCCAAGCTACATTTCCACTGAAGGATGCACACCTGCACGTCTCAGGATGCAAGCGGTAGCCTGGAAACCATACCATCAGAGAACCATTTTCTCCCCGGATACACACACTTTGATGGTACCAAAGCTCAGCTCACATTTAAGTTGAGATAGCCTAGTTGACCAAACCATTAGCAGTGTAGTAGGTGTTTACGGAATTTGATTGTCTTCAGCAATGGTATGGTGTCCAGGCTAAGTATTATCAGCGCCATCTGACAATCCTCCAAATACCATTAGGTAGTATCTTTCAAATCCCCAATCTTCCTCAAGCATTAATTATTGTTGCGCCTTCAAGCATATTGACAGATACGAGCTTAATGGATAAAAGACAAGTAAAAATATAAATCTGTGGAATTTCACCAACAGCAAACTTAAAAATCCGTTCCAGTGTAAAGGATTTTTGTCAAAGGACTGGAGAATAAAAGGAGCCACTAGGAGGACATTGTACCCTGCATGAAATTACTTCCAGTAGAATTAGTCTTGATAAAAGTTGATTATTCCATTAAGAATTCCATGCATGCATATTAAGCATTTTAAGCTGAAGTATCATATTATACAGCAGCGTGCTGATTTTAGCGATTATGCTTGTTAGTCATGTTTTATGCAATTTTACATTTTTTTGGCTGGGTATGTCACACTTGTCATGCAATGATTGCTTGATGCAATGGGTGAAATTACTAGTGACTTTGCATAGTGAGCACAAATTGATGCAACCATTTATAAAGCGATTGGTCAAAATGACATTAAAAAAAGTCTTACATGTATCTTACATACATGTACATTGTACATGTAACATTTGTGCGTTCAATGCTTATATGTGAACAAAAAGGTGCTGATAAGTTGGCGAAATACACACACACCTCAAATTTAGGAATGCATACAAACTTGTGGTGCCACCTCATCAACCCTAAATACCCCAACCCTTCAAAATCCAACTGCATGTTTTGTGAGTACTGCACTAGTAAACTGACTTTACATGGTGTCCGGCATACCAACATAATCAGAGTCCAACAGTTTGGGTGTAGAGTTTACCATATGGTGTTGGGTTTTGCAAGAGTGAGGAAGGTTCCTAGTAAATCACTCAAGGGGGTTAGGGTTAATGATCTCTAATTGTAGTGGCTTGGTTAGTGTATGATACGGGTATGTATGTTTAGTAGTGATATTTTTACATGCTCCATTTTGAGGCAAAAACAGACAGCGTGGCAACGTTGGCTACGATGATTTGCGTGTTTCTGTTCTGACTTGCCTTCCAAGTCACATTGTGATGATTTGTGCGAATATGTAGATGAGTGTCTCATGTCTAACAGATAACTAAGTTGTTAAGCCTTGCCCACATGATGTCTGGGCCAATCACAGCCACGGATGCACAACCAAAGATGTCATACAAAAGTCTGGCATTCTTACATTCAAGATGTGCACTGAGAAGCACATGTGTTGTTATAAACACTGGGACCGGCGCCCTTTGGCAAATTTTCAGAGATAGTCTAAGGAATCCACGGTCCAGCAAGTTGGAAGGCTCTGTAGGAGAACACGAACATTTCACTGGTTCACATGTGCTGTTCATCCCTTTGCACTTGAGAATGCATACCGGGGAAAGTAAGGTTAGCCTCACAATAAGATTTAAGTTGGCTGGTTCCCTGTCCCTCCAATTAAATCTAGACTTTGAAGGCACGGATACCAGTCTATAAGCGAGAGCTCTAGTTTCAAGTTCAAAACCATTTTCATGACATTACATAAAACCACGTTCAGCATCCCTCATCAACAGTGATGTTTTGCATTTCACTTCCAAGGTGGTGCCTGCGCATGGAGTCCATATAACAATGCACACAAAAAGACAAACGGTCTATACAAAAATTCTATAATTTGGCGCTTGTACAAAAAAATTTCATTCAAAGATTTGAAACATTAGGCACATCATGCAAGCTGTGATTACCTTCAACATATTCAACAATCAAGATCCTTGCTGGGTGTTGGAATTGCTATAAACCAGGTCAGCTTGGAAGTCAAAGCCTTGGGCAGACCTGGCTTCTGTTTCAGCTGCCCAATCAGTCAGGAAGGTGTGTCCCGTCGGCGTGAACGGAGACAACGGACTGAGAGGCGATTTGCAATCATCCCCTCCTGATGGACTGGGTAACGGACCAATGTGTAGACTCTCCGTCTTGTCTGCTATATCTTGTGATGTCCCTCCCTCTTGTTTGACAGGAGGGGGCGTGTCTTTGACACCCCAGTCCTCTCCAGATGTCGGCTGCCATTGTCCAATCGGCGACTCCTGAAAGCTCTTCTCTGATTCTTGCTGGGGTGATGTCAGAGTCCGTATATCCATCTGTGACAGCTCTCGATCACTCGGTCCCGATCTCCTGCCTGGGCGACTCCCTCCACGGTCGTACCCACCACGACCTCGCCGACCTTGATCCTGACCCCGCCCACCTTGATACAAACCCCGCCCACCTCCACGTCCCCGCTGATTACTGTCAGGTGTGAATCGTCCACTGCCGATACGACTGTTATGCTGGGAACGTTGGTCTCCCATGCGGTCATCATGTTCAAAGTGACTACCACCAGTTCTCCTTTCTACAAGGAAAAATAAACATCAAATACTCATTACACATAATCCCAAACATAACATTGCAAAGATTTAGGTCGGTGTCACTGCTGTCAACACACTTTATTAACCTCAACCCTCTCAGATCTGCCAAAATCCAACAAATGGTTTTGTCTGACTCTGATGGAGTTAGAACTAAGCTGTCTAGCCACTATTATTTGATGCATGAGGAATGATGTTCCAATGGTTTACCTCAGTACATGACTTTGACATTTCAAGACAGTCCACAGAAAAGCCAAATGGTTATTGTTTACATCTGTGTATGCTATTAATCCAAAATAACTATTTATTGCCAGGAGCCTTTCTTAATCCTTTAATATCCACCAAGTAAAGAAATTATGATGTCACGTGACATGTGATGACGTCGTGATTACATCAATGTTCGGCACACATCTCCAGGTGCTAGTCTAGGTGTGTGCCAAGTATGAAGGCAATCGGATTGATTTTATCGGCCGAATGCTGGGGCCAAAAAAAAAAAATGCTATGGGCAAAATGACTGGGAAAAAAATAATATCTTAACAAAAACAAAGGCTGTTTCTGCAAATGTGATGAAACAGCCAATGAAAATAAAGAAATGTTCAGTTTTATGAGGTTGGAAGGAAACCTAGGGGAATATTCCAGGGAAAACCCACAGAATCAGGTCACGACTGAAAATCCAATCCACAAGTCAGCCTTGGGGGGGGGGGGGGTGAGAGATTAGAACCCGGGCCATAGAGGTGGAAGTCGAGGACAGAACCACTGTGCAAACGTGACTCTCCCAATTTCTGACCAAGAGGATGAGTACAACACACTTCACGCAATAAATAATTCAAAATTGTTCTCCCTGCTGGTCAACCAAACACCAAGTTTTAGTCCATCCCAACACTTAGACAGATGTGACGGCAGGCTAGAGACCTGATGATGTCTAACAGGGTGTGATGAGTCTAGAAATAGCGAGGGGTGGATGCATAATTGACGAGGGGCAGGTGTTGACCTATTTACGGTGCTAAACACGGCGGAAGGCTGCAGATTAGCTGTTAATGCAGGTCCTGCCAAAATGTGGGGTTTCCCTTTTTTTTCTCATGGACTCTGTTGGTGCTGTGCAAGCTGAAAACAGTGTGTACACAACTAGTGTTTCTGCTGAGTGTGCGTAAACCTATTGCATCCTTGTGTCAAAGAAATGCACCTGAGCCCAGGCACTGAAGTACCCATCAACGGTAATACTTTTAATTTGACTGCTGACAGCAAATGCATTAGAGTTATAGGAACAGTTCCATCGTAAGTCTAACCACAAGAGAATCACAATTACGGCAGCACAGGGAAGAACAAAGACAGAGGAATGCTATTGTCGCAGTTCATTTGAATAGCTCCTGTCTTGATTTGAGACTGAAGGACTTGTGCTGGACTGGTCTAGAACTCTGGCGTCCATGTAGCCAACCATTTTGTTCCTGATATCCTGTTAGCAGCTCTCTTTAGCTTGGTGACCTTATTTCTTTGAGACTTCATTGGGTACGTTGACCTTTGACCCAAGGTCAATGCTCCCACATGTCCGGAGCAAGTGTACACGACATGTGCACAGAATGCATACACATGAATTATAGCAATAAACTATCCCAAATGCTTTCCATTTCCTTTACAATATTTTTAGAATGAAATTAGCGGTCACCGTTTTCCTTGGACAGGGATGTGGGAATGAGTCAACAGGAAAGATCGTTAGAATGTTGCTTATTCCCTTCACTCAATTCAACGCTGTTGGTGACCACTTATCCCTGTCACAAAATAGGGAGGGAAATGCATGTGTCCGAGGCATTGGACGTACGTCATTAGCAACAAACAATGTATATGACCCGGGTCACATGTATCCAACTTGACCTCAAAGAATGAGACGTCATAAGCACATTGGACAGGGTGGTGGCGACGTGTGAATGTTCAAGCTGTATAGGGCCTACCTCTCTGTTGTGGGACAGAATCTGTGGCCTCCCAGTGACCAATTCTCATCTCTCCTTGGCTTGCCTGCTGATTGCTGTGAATGAACGACACACCAAAGGGACAGGATGAATAGATGGTCAAAAGTATGAACTTAATAGTGCTGTGACGAGAAAAAGGAATTACTGTAAATCAGCACTTGGTTTATGTGTGGATACTTGTCACAGTAACAGGAAGACTGCATAGAAAGAGCCGACCAGAACATGAGCTACAATCCTGGCCAAATCTCGCTGCGCCCCCAACCCCCCGGCCCCCGTTCAGTGTTGTCGCTCATCGCGCGGTGTGTGCTCCATCAGCTGGAGAGAACAACATTGACCGGGGGAGCGGGGGAGTGGGTGACCATGGCAGGCTCATCAGGAAGTGTCCCAACCATTTTGGCCGGGATTGTAGCCAGTTCAATTTGATAGCTTCCACAAACTCTCACTGTCAATTTGGAACCAATTAACATTTCTTTGAAATGGTGAACAGTGAACTTTTTCTCAGCTGCTGTTTTATCCAGATATTTGGTCACAGATTATAACTTTCAAATTGCCAACGAGTTGCAACAAAATGGAAAACAATGTTGATTTTTCTTTATTTAAATATGAGATTACAGAGTCAAAATCCTCGCAGTGCATTGTAACCAATAATATTTCAAGTCCCATGTCTATGAAACACCAGTATTTCTTGCCACTAGAGGGTGAAGTTGAACACAAAATCCATTTTGATGTTCTCTAAAATAATTGACAGTCTAGAGCCAATTAAGTGTAAATTATGGTTAAGCATACATGCAGACCAATGGGAGACTTGGGAGACGTTGGTGGCAGCAAATATACCGGTCATTTTTCAATTGTTGACGTTGTGTTTAAGCTAAAGCGCGCATGCTCAATATGATGCAAACAATGGAAAAAGGACCGGTATGTTTGCTGCCACCAACGTCTCAAAAAGTCTCCCATTGGGGAAGTCTAGGGCATGTTTTCGCAACCGTGACCAGAAACATGTTTCCGCTTTGGTCATTGGTCAGGCGTTTTCGCGTCTTCGGTTATGGCTGTGTGAAGTCATTGTTTCGACCAAACGAGAACCGAAGGTTGGAGTTGGTTATCACAAATTAAAAATGGCGGAATAATACTAAAACCTAAACAGACGATATTTTTGCCGTCCCAAACATTAGCGAATGATGAATTCCCTAAAGTGTTATTGCATGCAGCGAACCAAAAAGGTTACTTTCTTCCAGAATGTGAAAAGAGAGGGCAGCAGTGGTGGAAACATACCGAATGTTGGCCTGTAAAGTGAGTGAAAATGATGTTTGTCGTTTGTCAACCATGTCGTCTGCTACTTCAAATAATACTTTGCTATTATGCGCGTGCATGCGGTAAATGACGGTTTCTTGCGCCTGTGTAAACATGTTCCTGGTTACCGTTTTGACGTCACAAACATGTTTCTGGTCATGGTCGCGAAAATAGCCCCTAGTTAACAACTTGTTTACTGAGGCTGGTTACCAACAGCCAAACCCATTGTAATGTACAGCAGAGAGCCAGGACCAAGACGTTTCCTTAGCACCTGTATAACATTGTGTGATGAAGCCATAAAACCATTCGGGCACTGAGTTTATGGAAACTTGTACAGGGAATAACAGGCTTGAGAGAACTCATTGGGTTAAAGGTACGCAGGCGCAAAATATGTCACAATCAACCACTGGTCCACGAATCAACTTGCTCACAGATGCGTGTGTTACTGTTGGGTACCAGTTAAATGCCATTGCCAATAAACGCTGCGTAGCTAGGAATCACTGATCCAATGTTAATCATGTAAACACCACATGGTAAAACCATAGAGAAAACAGTCAGCCTTGGGAAGCAGCGAGTATGGACACAACTATGAATATTATAAATGACTCTCAATAAATAGGACACAGATTGTGTATGAATCCGAAGTCGCTCAGAATGCCTCCAATTCAATTTTTCTGACATTCACCCATAAGTCCCTTAACCACCCCAACGTGCCCTGTCAAATTCTCCTTATATCCTTCAAACCGCCATGGTTTCCTGGATTCATCAAGGAGTTAATTCAATGTTATACAAATAACGAATGTTTGTGAGTGCGATGGTAAGAATAATTTCATGAGGTGACAGATTGAATGTTCTATTCCACGAGGCGAAGCCGAGTGGAATAGAACATTCAATCTGTCACCGAATGAAATTATTCTTTCCATCGCACGAACGTAAAACATTCGTTATTTGTTTTATACAACACCTGAATAAATTCTCGTCATTTGATTGGTAAATTATAAACTACAATTTATTTTGATTTTAAAGATGTTGAACTACCCCTTCACGAAAATGTTTGAACCCAACGCTGTAGCGCTGGCTCTTTGGAACAATACGCGCTACGCTGAACGCGCACACCAGCATGCATTTTGCACGCAAATACCGCGTCATGGAACAAGCGCAAAGTGAAACGGTATAACGCATGGGTATAACACATGGTCGCACCGTGCATTATACCGAATAATAATATGTCACGTGATCTACAATTCACCAATCAGATGACGGGGATTTATTCAGGTGTTGTATAAAATGCAATGTAACTAGTTAATACAACATCTGTCTTTGTACTTTCTACATACATGTACATGTAAAGAGGAAGAGTGGCTTAGGCACATATTGCTGCAGTACCATCGCCTTTGATCATCGAGCGAGTGATATTGGACTAACTCTGACTATGCCCACAGATGTCAGTTTGTGGAGTTTTTGATGAGCTTATAGTCAAAATCATCTGCTGGATATGGGTTGGCGGGCAAGGCACCTTACAATGTTAAAATTAAACCTGTGAATAATATGATGTAACAAGACATGTAGGCCTACCGGTACTTTGTGCAACTGTTGGACACTGAGTTTCAGTTTCAAAAATGTCTATTTTCCCATTTCAGGAGTCCTAAATTCTGTTTTAACAATAAAACTGTGTGAGAATATTTATAAAAATAGAAATTTATTAATTTCATCAAAACTAATTGAATAAAATAAGAATGAATTTCAGCCAGACTTGTCATAAAATTAGTGACGTAATAACGGACTCTGGCAGACATTTGCCAGTGTACATGTACATGTACTAATAGCTATAGCAGGACTTGTCTGCCCAGGTCTTTTCTGGTAAATGAAACAAATTGCTCAAGAGCACCCATAATACCGTTGCCAACAAGCCAAATGACAAAAGGCAATCAAAAAAATGTTCGGTTTAAGAGCTTGAAAGAAAACGCCAAGTTAAAAAACTATGGAATCAGGTAGGGACTAAAAATCCAATCCACAAGTCAGCCCAGAAGGGATTCGAACCAGGTCACAGAGATGGAAGGGGAGAAATGTACCATTGTGCAGATAGGCGACACTAATGAAATTGCTCCCTTGACAAAAGACACTGCACAAGACATGCATGTGAACTTACTCTGTTGCCTTGTTCTCCGTATCCCGATCATCTTCAGGTTTCCATCGCGTTTCCTGGCGTGTCGTGGCCTCTTGGTGGCGCCGTATTCTCTCCTGGTCTATCTTCTCCCGTTCTCGTTTCCATTCTTCGTATTCATGTCTTTCCTTGCCCGTCATTGTGACGGTGGTTTCTGCATTCAGGTCCGCCCCCCTCTGGCCGTGGTTAGAGCCCTGGAATTCATAATAAACAAAAACTTGAACAAGTCCTCTATGGATGCCATGCACATTGCACAAGTACCCCCTCAACGGTAACAAAGACAGAGCTGGGGAGACCACTTGGAGGGACATTCTTACACATTGCTAGTTCCAACAAAATGGTTATTAACGGTAAATTGTTTTCGCTAAACACTTTTTCAAACACATTTAACGGATTTCTGTGTTTTCTATTTCAAAAGCCAATATTTTTTTTCATTCCTAATAATGTTTCAGCCATTCAACCCTGACCACATTTTTCCATGTGTACAAATACAATGCTGTACTGATAGAGCATTTCCTCATTGAAATGTTGTGACTTTTGCTCACATGTTGAAAATTTTGTACAAAACAACAAACATGAACCAACTGGTGTCTTTTTGAAGAGTTCTAGCTTGAACTATGGGATTTGGTCTTAGAAACCTCAATTTGAATAACCATGTGAGGGTTTATAGGGCAATAGGTTCTAGCTCTATGGTTTGGTGGAAGGTCAAAAGACGATGGGTTTGCGGTAGCACCATGTAATCATATCTCTCTTTAAACTAGCTATAAACAATATGGTTGAAAATGCTGGCTGCTACTTGCCACGCAAGGACGAAACAGTTCAATGATGCCAATGTATGAAATGTAATCGCATGGCATGTTTATGTACATGTACGTCCGTTAATGACTCATGGGCTGAAATGTTCATAAAATACCATAGGATCCTCACTTGATAATCCATTGAACATGTTGGTATTTTATTTTCATAGTCTGTAACTTTTCAAACTGCAGTGAAAATAATAATAAAATTGTGTTTACTAAAATAAAAAATGAATTCACTTCTGTTCTGACTTCCAAAATACATGTACGGTTATGATTACAGACCTGCAAATACCACATTGGAAGCGCATTGATTTTTATATACATTTACATATACACATAAGGTAATTATGTATACACATAAGATAATTGACTTGGCTGTTTCTTATGTGCATATATGTAAATGTATATAAAATGCACTTCCATTAAAATAATAATGCAGATCACATGTATGTATGTATACATGTACACAGCAAAGTAATATAATATGGTCCTCCGCATGTCAGTTTTGTAATACAGCTCATGCATATTCATGAGTACCAGCAGCAATGCACAGTTCCCTTGATATGCAAAGGATTCATGAGTACAGAGTAATAAAGTTTTATTATTTCTTTGTGTAGTAGTTTATTCAGGCTCACATTGAGTCAAGTCATGTACCAGTATATATGGGATAATATGTTGCACGCCTGCTTTATTACTTATATGCACAGACTATTGAGGGCAGTGTTCAACTTTTATGTGTAAATGAGACTGAAGACTCTTCTGATACACAGGTATTCAAGGCTTCAAAAGAAGGGGTGCTACATCCAGGGCTAAAATGTGGCATTACGCTGTATACGAACACTAAATTCAGTCTGTACTCAGTGTGAATCAGGGGTAGATATAGCTTTCAGGAAACAGGGAGTTGAAATGAATTGGTTGGGGGGAGGGGGGGGGGGGGGGTATACGCGTGTCGAAGGCACACCCTGCTATGGGTCCAATGGCATGCCCCCCAGAACGGTTTGAAATCTAAGATGCTTACTCCTGCATTCTAAGACAATCTCATATTCAGGAACTTTATTATTCCATTTATTATTTTTGGTCCCATGTTACCAGTATCATAAAGTTAGCCAAATCCAAGTTGACGTGCGCTGAATTACACGAACAGATAAGGGATGCTTCCAGAGACAACTCACCCCTCTACCGCGTTGGTCCTTTCTCCTTCCTGCAGCATTCTCACCATCCAGACCTCCTCTGCTGCGTTGATTCCGTCGACCTCTATCCTGACGATTGCCCCTGGAGGGTCTCTCCTGTTGAGGGTCTGCTCCGTAGCGTGAGGGGTCGTCAAGGAAACTATAAACTGATTTGGATGGGGGGTTGACAGTGCCAGCTGCTTTCTGTATGCGAACACAAATTGTGACACGTTTAGAAATAGCTGGATTCAGATAAATTTTAGGAAATCAGGAAGCTGTATGAAATTTATAATTATCTCCTGAAACCAGCACCACAAGCACATGTGCATTTTGAAACGAATAATTTAGTACATGATTCAATATTAACAAATCTCTTTGTGTCAGATGGATGAAGTACAAGGTATGTCTGAAGTCATGTTAATTTACAGAAACTTAATTGACTTCACTGTTTTCCCCCATAGAATTTGGATGGGTAAAAAAACAGTTTTGAAAGTTCGTAGAAATTCACCACAGAATTGCAAGAACATTGCTTTTGTTTTTTTCATCTAGCTAAAGCCAAAAGTTTTCTCTCCCCATTATGGAATACGTTCTCTTTTACTGTTTTTTTTTAAGCAACATTTGTTCTCTTTTATCAACTTCCATCTCTAAACACTTGTCCTTTGTTGTTCTAAGATATCAGATGACTGATGCTGTGCCCCTTGCCCAAGCCTACAATACCTACCTCATTCTCCAGGGCTTCTCTCAGTGCTGCTATCTCCGCCTCCACTCGATCAAAATTCTCCTTCCGTTTTTCTTCAAAGTCCTGAAGAAAAAAAACCAACATATACATTTATGAGTGTAAACAAAATCTGTTAGTGGTTTGTGTTATTGATAGCCTTTTCATTATAAACCACATGTAGATTACCAAATTTTAAAATTTTCTAAAATTAATTACTGGGCAATCTTCTGAGGATTTCCAGTTAGAAATCAATCTCTGAAGCTCCTCGAGGAAGCAAAAAAGTAATTAAAGCACAATCCACATTGACGTGGGCAGATCGGAAAAGGGACAGAATGAGAAAGGGAAGAAACTTTGGCTGTGGACAAAAATGGACCTATTTTAAAAATCAAGCAGATAAACAAAGTGTTCCCAATTTTGTTCTGCAGCACCAGTCTCCCTGGGGGAGTGTGGCCTAGTGGTTAGGAGTCAGGACTCCTGATCAGAGGGTTGGGGGTTCGAATCCAGCTGCTGGTCATATGTTGTGTCCTTGGGCAAGCCACTTCACCCCCACTTACCTCACTCCACCCAGAAGGGTAAATGGGTACTGGCATTAGCTGGGGAGTAACCTGCGATGGACTGGCATCCCATCCAGGGGAAGTAGAAATATTCTCAGTCGCTTCAGGCTGCTGAAACCGGAGCTAAATGCCGGCCCGATGGGCCATTGGCTTGTGACAGACTTTACTTTACTTTTACCAGTCTCCCTAGAACAGACATTTGAGGAGAAACTTCCAGGAGGATCATACCTTTCTCTTGACATCATCTCTGCTCACCCTCACCGTCCGCCCCCGTCCCCTGCTCCCACGTCCTATGGGTTTACTGGGCTCAGTCTCCACAGAAATGGTCAGATCCTGAGGTCAAGAACAAGAATTCATAAGCAACGCTTTCCAAACAAGGGAAACATGTGAGACTCAGACTTTTTCAGACATATTAGGAACACAAATGATGAGTCAGGTTCTAAATATGCAGTCCTTTGCTTTGTTACATTTTGTAATGCTTGTTTTTGGCTCAAGGGAATACCTGATGTAAACAAAGGATATTAATTTGTGATCTATTCCCACAGAATGGGAAGTCAATCCACTCACCAGGCACTTCAGTTTTTATACAATTGAATAGGTAACAAACAGTTTCTTGATGGTATTAGACTCACACATACGTACGGTGTAACTCAAAAGCACTATGATAACAACATAACAATTTGCGCACTATTATGTCAAAGCCATTTCAATTTCAAATAAAAACCCCATAATGCAAGTAAATTAATGCAACTCATAATAATTGCAAGACTATTACATGCTGAAAGAAAAGTAATGGTTATCTGAAGGGGGAAAAATTCCACAAAGCTGAGTCACTTCATTCAGGATCTTTGAAACAACAATCAAATATGCAAACTACCGGTATCCAGCCTGAACTAGCACAAGGCATGACATGTATGGAATCAACTTCGTAATTAAGCGATCCATTAAGTCCTGCCCCACAATGTTTTAACCAATCACAACCATGCTTTTATCTAGACAAAAGTCTGGCATGCATGCACTTGCATATGATGTGCCCAGCTAGAACATGAAGAAGCGCATGTTTGTTGCTCAGGTGGGCTGCAGACTACTAAATAATTAGTGGGTTTTGTGGAGTGGAATCAATTAATCATGGACAAGTTACACACCCGTAGGTCATATATTGTCTCTCTGTTTCAAGCAGTGCCCAAGTTCATGGAGCAACGAAACACACAATACTGCTTACATGTTTCGCAAAAAAAATCTGCCAAGACCCGGTTACACGCAATATCCTTCGCACAACATTTTGGCCGCTAATCTATTTTTTACCCTAAGAAATATGTGTTTGTGTTCAGCAAATTTTGCACTTAATTCTTAATGAAATTAGTCCCTGGGTCATTTCGAGCTTTCATGTCAGCTTGCAGTAGGCAAACATGTAATGTACTTGTTTATTTTGCATTTTCAGGAACGTCGTTAGTATTTTGAGCACTGATCTATTAAGAACAGGGTATCGGGATTGCAGGTGTTCAGAGTGTATAACACATGGATTAAAAGGACTGGATAAAAGAGTTTAATTTTACTTGCCCTTGCTGTAATATTGAAACACAAATGGTATCTGTCTGATGTCAATGTGCAGAGTGACTCACACAACATTGGCAAGTGAATTTATTGTTCCTGAGCCAGGAACAAGCTTTTTAGATGTTTACGCGTAACGTGAGACAATTATGATTTAATATTAGTGTATCAGCACAAGGTACATCACTAATCAACCACTAGATAACCACTAGTTAACCACTGATCCTTTATTGGGGGGGGGGGAGTGTTAAAGAATGAATAAGACATTATACCGGTACATGTTATGACTGTCTGGCATTTGATATGGGCTCCGTGCACAAGTACCCCCTCAGCGGTAAGAAAGGGAGAGTTGGGGGAGACCACTGGGAGAGACACTGGAATACATTGCCGACGATGTCTGATGCTCACGTGAAGACACTTGGGATTTGTGCACGTTCACCATTAATAAAATCAGTGGTGCGTGAAGCCCATGAACATATCTGCATAACTTTTCAGTAATTAACCTTAACTGCCTAGGCTTTTTTTGCTAGGATGTAACCTCAATCCTGCAAAATCCTCCAACTGCCTCCATGTAAAAATTGCATACAGCCTCAATCCTGCAAAATCCTCCGGCAATCGCTGTCAATACGTTGAGTCTGAGCCAGTGACATCCTGGAGCAGTGCGGAGGATTTCAAGTATAATCTAGGCCTAAATTAATGCATGGCTGAGCATTAACAACACAAGGTCCGACCTAAGACCCTGACACAGTGCAAAATCAGCCACACACTTTTGCCATTATAGCCTCAATCCTGCACTGAAAATCCTCCATTTTGCAAAGAGGATTTTGGAGGATTTGGGAAGGTTAGGATTAATGTACATCATCACCATCACTTTCTGCTGGAACTTGACAACAAGTATTCACCCATGCAAAGTGGTGACCATTAAATACAACATGTACATCCAATCCGCGTGACGAAAAGTAACCACAAAAACAATCAGCAAGCACCACATCAATGTCCGAGACAGTGAATGACCAATGGTCAGACTAGGCAGTTCATGTATATGACAAGAAACACAATAAAGGGGGCCACTTTGCTACCGTCACGTTAGCAGTTTTTTCAATGCTTGTGATTTTTTGTTAAATACATGAAACCACCAAAGAAGAATTTCAACACGTGAATGGACATGCAGCCTTTTGCTAAAGATAATTTGAGTTGATTATTTGTATTGCTTTCTGACATTACCCTCAAATTTCCATCAAATAGTGGACGGAAAACTTAGGTAACTTTTTCCGTCCATTTTTGATGGAAATTTGAGGGTGATTTTAAAAATTAAAACAGAAAGAAAGAAATGATTCAACACATATTACATGTGTTATAAGCCTACATGTCCATTTACATTTCAAAAACTTTTCGGGTGGTTTCAGGTATTGTAAAAAAAATTACAACCATTGGAAAAACTGCTAACGTGACGGATGCAAAGTGGCCCCCTTTATTGTGTTTCTTGTCATATACAATTATTAGTCCACCAGCATCAACACCATGCAACGTGTGAGCATTACAGCTGACCACTTGTTCAAACTTCTCTTTTATACAATATTTTCTCGTACTTTAGGGTGCCTCTCAATTCACATCAGGACAAGTTCCAGGCAAGTTGCAGGTAGAATCATTCAACCGATCCCGTTAGCTCGGTGGTCGAGTGGTAAGATGTCTGCACTAGAAAGCAGGAGGTCGTGGGTTCAAGTCCCCGAGTAATTTTTTCCAACTTTCACTCGGGAGGTACACACCGAGTATACAGTGTTAATACGTCGGTGAAGAGCAAAACCGAATTTGATACAATCATTCACTTTGTCCGGAAGAAGATCGGCATATTTTTCTGGGGAATTTTTGGCAGCAACTGCTTGACTCATTAATAGCGATAACTTCATTGCGGGGAAGTTGTTCAAAATCCTGCAACTTATACCTGATACAATGTCCACAACTTGTCTGGAACTCGTCCTGGATATGTATTGAGACCGGCCCTTAGCACAGTTCACGCTTTGAATACACGAAGATGAGAAAAGAGATTCCTGTTTTGAGCTTCAAAAAGAAAAATAATCTGGATAGTCAGGTTGGGACAGAGATTGAAACCCATAGAATGAATCTGGCTGGAATCGAACAAGGGTCATCAGAGGTGAAAGACAAGAAAAGACTTTACAAAAAAGAAGTTGATCAGGCAACTTTTAGCCAGCGAGGGAACTGTGGTCAGCCAAGGGTTAACGGCATGCTTATCAGGCCAACATCCAAGCAGTATACCTCTTGGTTGCCACCACGCATCACCACTTTGCGTTTCACCTTGGGCTCCCGTTCCATCCTGTCATTCTGAAATGTCACCAGCAAAGCCTGCTCAACAAGAACCCCACATAAACACCCAGACAGACACCCAGACAGACACCCAGGGGCAGGGGCATGCAGGGGCAGTATTGGGGGTAAGGTGACATGCAGGGAAAGGCAGATGGGTGGAGGGTATGGAGGTCAGAAAACAAAACTCAACAAGTCAGGAATTGGAATTTCAAAAAAATGGGGGGTGGAGTTGGGAAACAGTGCTCTATCTCTTGTCCAACCAAACATGACAAAACTGACTTATACTTGAAATATTCACAATTTATGGAGTCAGACCAGGTTGTGCGAAGAAATTCATTTGATGCCTTAAATGTATGCTTAAAATGGACAAATTTAATGCACAGACAATGAAGCTGTATCTTTTTTTCGTACATGTTCTTTTTGTCTGCACATTATTTTCATAATGTTAACCTTAGTTGACCGAAGTCGACCAATTTCCTGTGCAGTTATCCTACCATGTACATGTACATCAGAGGTGATGGTAGTACAAATTCAGCAGAATTGGACAGCTACAAAAAAGGTTTCTCTTTGCAGTGTATACCCAACAATATCCAACAATTCAACAGAAACTAGACTACCCTTGGATAACCTCTACACAATAAATGCCTGTCATGTTTCCTAACAGTTTTTACACCAACCTCTTTTTTTGGTCTTGATGATGTGTCCTTCGGAGGACCCCTTCGTTGACCTTCTCTTCTCTGGCTGGGTGGTCCTCTTGATACCTTAGGGGTCAGAAATTGTCCAAAATCTGTTCACAAAATGTTTCATTCCCAGATGTGTAGCATACATGTAACATCATTTCAACTGCTTAAGCAAAGAATGGAATAACAGTTGAGCATTTCCAACTATTTTTGGTATTGTTGTGGTCGAGTAACTTTAGTTGAGTCCGAGTCTCAAGTCACTTCGGTCCAGTCTGAATGCAATGTCTTGATTCATTTGATTTAAGGCTGAGTTTGAGTCACAAGTCATTTGATTCAAGTCCGAGTCCAAGTCACAATGGATGTGCACGTACCGGTACATGGACACATACATGTAAGCGATATGATGCGCTGTTGGTAAGCAATGTGATGCAATGTGATAAGCGATGCGCTCTCCAGGGAAACAGGGAGGGGGTATTTAATAACAAACATCATTATTTGCAACAGCACCTCGACAGTGGTGCAGTATGATTTGTGTGCTCAAGGTTCCTTAGCATTGCTTTAATGTTACTTTGGGAAATAAAAACAGGAATTATGTTTTTAAAAAGAGAATATTTGAAAAAAAAAAATGTGACATACTAGTCATTAGTGTTACGTCCAAGTTATGACGTCCAATCTTTTGCCAATGTGACTCAAGTCAAGTCCGAGTCACCGAAATTACAACTTGAGACGGACTCAGACTCGAGTCCTTAACACTGGTATATGCCTGGAGAAGGGCAGATGTGTTTAGTCAAACTGCTAGAATAACTTGTCAGTGTGAAGTCCAAAATATTACTAAGAAGTTCAATCTCTGGTACCTCAGAATGACATGTTTTTATTGCATTTTGGTTGTTTATAGGTCTTAAATACTAGAATTGTGTCAGTAACAATTGTAACACTTTGCAAAACTAAAGTTAAACAAAATACCTTGTTAGTTCATTTTGTCTGAGCAGTTTTGTTGCTAATTTCACCCCTCAATGTCAACTTTAGAATCTCACCTCCATAATTTCTCTCGACACGACCAGCCTGACGTCTCCTTGGCACTGCTTCAGGATGGCGTAGACCTCATTCAGGCTCTTGGCTTCCACATTTGTGTCGTTAATTTGGAGCAGCAGATCACCTGAATGTAAACGTCCATCCTAAACAATAAAAAAAAACAATAACTCATAAGAACAAAGAAAGTAAATTTGATAACACTTGAAAACAACCAGTACATCTGTGAATGAGAATTGGGTTTAACAGAACTTTAAATCAGGTTCCATTTACTGTACATCCAAAGAAAAAGTCATACTTATTTTGAATCGAAACAATAAATGCATTGCTTCAAAGTCTCCGTTACTCCTATCATATTTTCTTGTTGTTGGGGCCAACATTTAGGCAAAAACTAATGACTTTTCCTTAACTTTTGCAGGACCAAATTAGGGCTTTTCATGACCAATTCCTATGCCATTTTGAATGTTCACCAGGCACACGGTATTCAAGTGCTGTACTATATCTCTCCCTACATTACCACTGAGACGGTTCATATCGGAAGCCAACGACCTCAACCAATCAATGGAAACAATGACAATACTTTAGCCCAGTTCATACTTCACGCGAAAGCAAGTGCGAAGCGAAATTCATGTCGTCAACAATGGTGGACGCGCTTCGAATGTATTGTTGCCGTTAGGAATTTTGCTTCGCTTTCGCGTGAAGTATGAACCGGGCTTAAGACTGCGTCCAAATGACTTGGCAAAGGCCTGCAGTGCCACCCGTGTCTGTGGGAAACGGCTTTAGCCGCTTCCATTGGCATTATGTGCAATAACAAGCCGTATCCACGTTATTCAGACATGGCTAACTCTTACCTTTCCAGCTACTCCATCAGGCAAGATGGTTTTGACTGTCACACCGATACCAGGGAAGTTCATGACCCCAAAGCCCAGCCCTTTGCCTTCAGTGTGCAGGTCAATCTCTACTGTCTCAGTGTGAGACTTGACTGAGCTGGGCTCTGTAGGCTGGACACAGAAATGAAAAGAAGACAAATTTATACACTAATCAAGAGAATACAAAGAGGAGGCACACATTCAATGCTCTTTTGACAAAGCGGGTTGCTTAAATCCATGGGCAGCTCAAATCTATTAACCTCTATTAAATCAGTGTGAGACTTGACTGAGCTGGGATCTGTAGGCTGGACACAGATATGAAAACACAGACAAATCCAAACACTAAACCAGTGAATAGAATGAAGAAGCACGCATTCAACGCTCTTTTGACAAAGAGGGTTGCTTAAATCCATGGGCAGCTCCAATCTATTACCTTCCTGCTATTTAATCAGTCACAGACAGGCAAAATTCACTTCCACTTCCCCTCTGGTATACGTTTAACAAAGGCTAGTCACCAGCAGTCAGATCATATGTCAAGCAAATACTTTCTCTAGTCAAACTGGGTCAACAGACAAAGCAGGCAAGATGTGGTCACAGCTGTTTTATCAATCTCCTGGAGTCAAATCATAGCTGTATCAAGTTACTTAAGCAGTCCAAGGCAGTCAATCCTGCTTTATGTGGACTGGGAATTCTTAAGGGTTGAGAACAGTCACTTGATTGATTTTGACTGCAAGGACAACTTGGTACAGAATTTATGTTTGCATAGGAGGGTTAAAGGCATAAAGGATCATTTGCTTTTCATGTATTTTGTTTGTTCCAATAACAACACCACTCAAAATCCAAAGAAGAATGTTCAAAACCTATCCTGTTGAAGTTTCAGCTCAGTGGATATTATACTTTTTGAGAAAACAGTGAAAAACCATGCACAGTCTTTTGATCATAGAACACGATTTTGTCAACAGCACCCTTTATTTCCAAAAGTCAGTCAACTGACTGATCGTTGGAAGTCACCTACATTTCTTGATTCTTTCTAAATGACAGCAAGCCAGAGGGAATAATTTCACGGGGTGTTTAGTACCAGTACGATCTGTAATGCAATAAAGCTTTTTGATAATAATTCGATAGACTTTTGAGACAAATGTAAATGATCCTATATGCCTTTAAGACACATGCAGCCAGGGCCCTATTCATAGCTCCGCTTAATACTTTAAGCTAAGAATCATTGCCAACTAGGCTGCATCCGGATCAACTGTCTAGAGCTAGGTCCAGGTCTGCGCCCATTGAAAATACACGGGGACGTGCCGACAATAGATGCAACCGTAGCTCTGGAAGCCCGTTTCGGACACCGCCCTATACCAGCCAATTCTGCGCTGAGAGTACTGTTTGTCCCAAGTTAGCAAGAAGTGTTTGCTTGTGTTCATGCGTCAAATTACAAACGATTCTTGGCTTACAAATTAAGCATTGAATTTCTTTGCTAGAACTTATAGCACAGAAAGATGATCACAAGAGAATTCTTCTGTGGTTAGGAGAGCCTTGTCAGGCTCAGTCTAAGCTTTGCAATGTGAGTTTCAAGCCATGAAATGGAATAAGGACACAGACTGCATAGCTGTTACACATAGGATTTTGAATCAGACATGTACCTGGACTCATGAACCGAGGAGTAAACTGAACCCTGCCATGCAACACAGCGTAACAGGTGTACAAGCTGGTGGCACCAGCAACACAGGTGCATAAGCAGCCAATTCTAAAACAATGTGAGCTAGTCCCATTGAACAATGCCACTGCTGTATCCTGCTGCAGTTGGGGACCACAGACTCTGAGGCAGTTTGGCTTTGAGAGTTTTGACCTGTTGGATCTTGCTACACTGGGCAGGCTGCTCACTTTGACCAGTGTTGCACTGGGCAGGGTTTTCCAGACAAACTACCTGGAAGGTTCAGGGTTAAGAGTCTACCACAAACCTGAGGAGCATCTTGTCTTCGTTTGGCTCCACCACTCCCTGTTCCCCTCTCTCCTTCCCACGCATCCTTCCATCCTGTGTTTCCTTGGTCCCATCCGCCACTGCTATCCTCCCCGTGTTTGTCAATGGATGATGCTAGTGATGCAGCCCCACTGTCCCATGACGGACTGGTTGATTGCTGTACAGGGGAGTTCATGGTTTGGTCTGGAGGGGGTGTTTGGCTCATTAGTGACGAGGGGCTTGAGACTGTGCTACCTTCGCGTGATGCTTGCAGTTTATCTTCTTCGATTTCCTGTCAAAGTAATCGCAAAAGCAATCCGGTAAAATAATGAGAACTCTAGCGCCAAGAACCAAAGATAGACACGAGGAACAAAACAGATTTAGAATAAAAAGAAAGAAGAGAGAAAAAGAAGTAAATCAGCTGGACATTTCTTTCAAAATCTAACAAACTGTGATTCTGAAGGAATAGAGTGTTGCAGAGCTTTAAGAGATTATTATTTTTTCATACAGGGCTTATTAAGGAAAAGTTATTTTCCAATACAGATTACGTTATTATTTTTTTACGTGTATTTTGGACCAAAGATATTTAACGGCATAATATATGAATCACTTTTCCACAATATCAGTTGTTTCACATATTTATCTTTGTTGCTGACATTGAAAAATAAAGCACCTTCACCGATTTTGGCTGCTTGTTAAGACACATGAAAAACTTCCCAGAGTTCAGAGGTTATTAACATAACATCCCACATGTTACAATGTATATGATTCAAGCAGACAACAGTGCAAACAAATGCCATACTACCTTTTTAATTTGGAGAAAAAAATCATTTTGCGACTGTAACTACACAAGTTATTCTATGGAATTCACTTCTTCATAAACAAGCCCAGTTAACAAAAGCCCAATACATGCACAAGAAACAAATATTTAATATTGCAACCAAATCAAAAGATCAATTTGTGTACAGCTGGGTGACACACATAAACATGCACTCGTATGAACCATGCAAATTTTTATTTGAGATATTTTAAGCTGACATCCTATTTGAACACCCAATGAGAAGGCAAAAAATATAAAAATTTGTAATTTTTCAAATGTTTTAATGAATGAACTTAGTTATAGTAGAACCACGGACCATGACTGTATGTGGGTACCTAGATGTTGCTTGCATTTGACAATTCATGTACGTAGCTTAAAGTTATACATAGCCAGCCGAACCTGGCAGGCTAAGTGGTTGAGCGGTAAGACGTCTGCGCTAGTAAGCAGGAGGTCATGGGTTCGAGTCCCACCCGAGTGATTTTTTCTTACACTGAGTATGCAGTGTTTATAAAAATACGTAGGTAAAGGGCAAAAACCCAATATTGAAAGTTATATATGTTATACTGGAAATTGATAAGTTTTGAACTGCAAAAAAATTAACGTGGTTTAAGACATAGATCAAAGCAACTCAAGAGTGAAAGACAGATTTGAAATATTTCACATTTGTACAACTAGTAGGGCTGTCCCGAATATTTGAGTATTCGATCATCAGAATATTTAAATAGCTTTACACTGGTGCGAATATTCAAAAGGAGAAAAACCTATGCACGCCCACGACAATGATGTAATTTCAATTGTAAAGTTACAACGCCTTATTGTCAGATGCCACTGTTTGTCAACGGGAACAGCAACTTTTTTGTTGATGCCGGTTCATTGTTCTCATCCTCAAGCCTTTGACAGTTATAAATACTTACTGCTACTCATTCCAGCTTGCAAATTTTACCCGGCGCATTTCGCCTGCAACATTTGACGGGCGCCGCACGCAGTTGCAGCTGGCATGTGTAAACTCGATCGGCAACTTTCGAATATTCAAATATTCGGTCAAACCCAGTTTCGAAAAGTCGAATATTAAATTACTCGGAAGTGGACAGCACTAAAAACTAAACATTTTCTTGTCTACATTCTCAGAAAGTCTTGCCGTTTTTACCTGATGTCTGCGCATTCTTTCCTCATTCTTCCTCTTAATGCTACTGATCTTCGTCTCCAAGACCAATTCCTGCTCCTCTTTGCTCAAGATATCCAGCAAGGTGAAATTATCAACAATCTGAGACAGATCTTGCCGCAGCTGATGAGGAATTCCCCCCGGGGCAACAATGGTTTGGTCGGATGAGCGTACAACCAATGAGGATGCAGTGATTGTTGGAATGATCCAATGAGCGTTTTAGGTGTGTCCCAACATGAGTGCAAAGCGTGACATTTATGGCGAAGAGAGTGGGATGTACATGTACATAGAAGCAACACAACAGCAAGAAAAGCACAGAACAAAGATGGGCAGGAAGCAAAGGGAAAAGAAATAAAAGAGCAGTCAATATAATGATGCAGTTTATTTCTAAATATAATTGTATTGCTTTTTGCAATATTCAACAATATTAGTTTCAATTTCTGAATAACAAAAAAGCTAGCTCTATGGAGCAAAATATTCATTCACCGTTATTATGAAGGTGCCCCGGGTTAACACAAAAGGTACACCAAGAGGCAAAACAAAACAAATTGTCAAGAAAAATGGAAAATGAGTATTGGTATTCATACAGAATCTCATTCAAACGGAATATGAGCTCCTCACATGTACCAACCCAAATTACCCCCCCAAAAAACATTGCATCATAAATGACAATGCCCTTTTAAAACCACCAAAATAAATGAATATAAGCCCACTTTACAACAACAAAATATCCAGCACCACATCACAGCAAAGGGATTCCTCTTGTATACCAATGTGACCAAAAGGTACGCCCATTTACATTTCATTAGTTGCTAATTTATTTTAAGCCCTTTTCATGATTATTCCCAAATGTAACCAGCAAAGACAGACGACATTTTGCATTGATCTTAAGTTACTCTAATGGTTTAGAATTTCCTTCTCGACATAGCTAGACCCTAGAGAGGTCACTTGCATCTACACAAATCGATTTCCAATGGGAACATCAAAAAGCCATGACTATGGGACCATTTTATGGAGTGCTAAGCATGCATATTTACTAATGAACAGGTTACCAACCAAACTATGAAGCCATAAGCCATACATATACATGTAACTTGTGACTGGTTCCCTGCTGGGACCCATATGGCACTTACAAACACTTGTGCCTCATACAATTGCAAGAACACTATACGAGTACATGACATGCACTTTCGTCTCCTCCTACCTGGTTTGATGCAACCTCAAGATGAATATTGCTGGACATCGTCACTTTGAGAACCTGCTACAGAAAGGCATGCAGAACTACCTGCTGTAGGAACAATATCATGAGCAATGAATTATGGATTGTTAGAGAATAGTCGGTTAAACTTCCTTACAAAATTCAGAAATTGCCAAGTGCTGCAAAGCCAAACTTAACTAGCCTCTGGTCTGTATGAAATTATAACATTTTAATCCTCCGCGTTATGATCATTTTCTGGAATTTCTAGATCATGTCAGGATATTTGTTATCGTTAAGATCAGAAATTTGACTGCTTCTGATCCCGGATCTGAATCAGGCAACTTGTACTCCAATGAAAGCATACCGACTGCTTTGGAGAAATGAGAAATAGAGAAATTCAGCAAAGCAGGGCTTGCAGGCATGCAACTGTAAAGTCACCAAAAATAGAGAAATTTCTAAGATTTAGAAGTGTTTTTCAATTGTTAAAGGTAGACATGGGAATAAAAAAGAGGAAATCAGCTGATCGTAGGAACCACTCCATGCCTGGACTTGTCATACAGCCACCATGTCAGTGAGCATTCACATTTTAAGGCTACATGTACAAGAAGCAAAAGGCCGAGGATAGCTAGCAAGCACTAGCATTAATAACATTCTCTGTACAAATACTTTGGACAAACAAAATTAGCAGTCTATCTATGGAATGTGCCCACAGTGACTACTGGTTCCGGAAAGATTTCCATATACAAACTTCACTAATTTTCCTCTGTATTGACTAACAAGCCCCCAGATAGCAATTTCATGTCATCAAAGTCAATTTGAGCAGTGAGAAAATACAAGCATTTTCTTAGAAAACACTTGAATTTTTTCAGTCCAATCTCATAGGGTTTGTACACAGGGTGTTGAGTGAACTTCGTATACAATGGAAATCTTTCCCTGGTTCCTTCACTGTACACAAGTTAACCTAACTCCACCTGAAAACCTTCTCAACAACACAGTCCATGCGCGATAACCACCAAATGGAGGTGACTACACAGTATTGAGCAGAAGCAAAAGCAGCAAGAAATCCTACATGGTGACCACAGTCTGCACTGGTTCACTGAACTGTGACTGCCTAATGATGCTATTTCGGATACCGTATTGTATACAGCTTAATTGGTTATGTTCCCAGTCCAGTCTTGTAGTATGGACTACTTGGGTTTATAGGGAGTCCATGAACACAATGTGCCCAAAACACTTCAGACTCTGAACAATACATCATAAAGCCACTCAGCCATCTTTAGTTGGAGAGGAGACAGTGTAAACTGCTCAAGGGTTCCCCATGGCCCTCCCCCACTCCCCTGTCATTGTTTCCTACTACCCCTGATAATTGTAACAGTGTCCAACAGTTGCCAAAGGATGAGATTTAAGATGAAGCCTGCTGAATCCAACAGAATCTAAAAACTACACACAGTAGAGTCTACTGCCTGAGTCATGTGTAGGGAACAAAAGCATACTCATTTTAGGCCAAGAAAAAATAGCCCAGTTTCTCATCCGAGCTTTTTGAAAAAATGAAGGAGGCGCCCCTTTTTTCCCCAAGATGGTGGATGGATTCTTCCAGTTTCTTGTGTCTTTTGCTGATACTTTTATGTCCAAAGAAAGTGGGCAGGAAAAAAGAAGCGAGCGGGACTAGTGTGCACTGCATGTGTACCAAATGATAACGTTTCAACTGAAAAATTCCAGTCAGTTTTATTTACCTCTCAAAAGGAAAAAAATGTACTACATGTACTTTGAAAATTAAAATCTATGCAATCACAATCAATCTACAATCAAATAAAGCACAACTATAACCAACAAGAAAAATGATTCTCCCTCCAAAATGTTTTTTTTTTTACAATCCCCAAACCCACCGTGCCCACCAAAACTCAGGCCCAGCCTCGCATAATTTTTTGTGGAATTCATCCACCATCTTGGGGACTTTTAGCCTGCAAAAGTCACCTTGGTACTGGACAGTCATCTGCAAAAGTCAGTTTTGAACAGAACTCTTAAAAAATAGAGGTGTCCTAAAAGTAAGGATTACCAATAGGCCTACATGTAAATCCCATCATGCCACTCTATCCTGAGCATGATGGGACATCTTTGGGCAAATATCATTGAGGGTATCCATGAACAGTCTATGGATATGCAGGACATAACATTTGGATGTGTTTCCAGTCTCCCCCCCCCCACCCCACCCCACCCAACAACAACAACAACAACCCCATTTTTTTTTTAATGTGGGCCAATTGCATATTTGGGAAAAGTTCCATACTCGATCATCAATTTATCTGCTGCCAAACATATTAATTGTCGCCTCACCTTGTGAGTTCAACCAAGAGGAATCCAGAAAGTTGTGTTAAGGTGTAAAAAAATTAGGAAAAATGTGTTTTTAGAGCACATTTTTGGATGCACACATCGTGCAGAACCAAGTTGAAGCAGCCGGTCAAAACTGATTGAAGTGTCTGGAACAGCGGTACGTTGTACGCATGACATCGATATTTAAACCATGACGTCCCATGAGCCGGCCAATGATAGTGCAATACGTCATTATGAATATTTATTTTTTCATGAATATTTAGTTTATTTCAATGGATACTTCAAATACGTCCAAAGATTGATTATTGCAACAGCGACCGTGCACGGCCTAGCGGTTAAGAGTCTCGTGTATCAAGCAAGCGTCCGAGGTTCGAATCTCGATGAAGTAACTGACTGATTAATAAATAGAAATTAAGGAAAGGAGAGGGTGAGAGTAGAGGAGGGAAAGTGGAGGAATAACCATAAAAGATCTAACTTTTGGCGCTAGAAAATTAATTGAAAAAAGTGGCGATCGAGTATGGAACTTTTTCCGCATATTTTGTCTTTGTCTTTCAAATAATATGCCATACACTTCAGTGTTTTTAAGGACTTACGGTCTTACAACGCCACGTTCACGGGTCTAGGTCTTACCATCACTGAGGTTAAATGGCGAATGAAAAAAAGTTGAAGTTTAATGCAGCACTCTTTCCTGTGCTAGGCGCGGGGGGGGGGGGGGGGGGTACAGCGCTAGACACTCCCTATTTCGACAATGGCTAATGCATTGTGCAGTGTACCCTGCAGTGTCAGAGTGTGCACGTTCTCGTGAAGTCCGACTCCGACTCGACTAAGTTCCGAGCAGATGACACGACAATTGCATGCCCTGTTTGACATTAATCTTGAGCACCTGGCTCTTTGATTACAAAACATCAGAAGTATAATAAAGTGCATGTACACAAAGCTCACAAAAAGAGTATTAATTACTTAAAATAAGACTAATTCTACAAAAAAAATATTCATTACCGGTGACGTCTTGCACGTCGTGTACTGAGTTTTGTGCACACATTTTGTGTTGATGTACAAAAGTGCATGACTACCTGACTAATCCAAAGTACTGTGTCGAGAACGATGTATTGAACAGGGTACCAGCCCACATTTTCTTTAAACTAAATTTTACCGAGCTACGCGGTCTTTCGGCCAGACGGGTCATTTCGGATTACATCATGCAGAAATATCACACTTTTTAACATTGTTTGCATAGAAATTAAATTTCAAATAAAAATTAATGATGATAAAATTACCAAAAATGTACATTTATCTTAGTAAAATGGATATAATGAATTGAATCGCTAATATCAAAATAAGAGGTTTGAAAAGAACTCTCTAGCTGGAAATAATTTAACACACCGTTACCGGTTGTCGGACGCTTCGCCCATTTCCACTTCGCCCCTAACCACTTCGCCCCATCTCCGCTTCGCCCCATCCCCAGCCTCGACTCCAGGGGCGCGTGCTAGTTCTTTACACTTATCGTAACAAGGCATGATGGGAAACAACATGGCGCTGCAAGATCGTACCCACGGGGCACGAGGTTGCCCCATCCCCGCTTCGCCCCATCCCCGCTTCGCCCCATCCCCGCTTCGCCAAATACCAAAGACCCCCGATTAATGCTCCCAATTCTCGAAACTCAGGAAATTAACCGCCGAGACACACCATATCAACTTTTTGCAAATTAGTTTCATGTTAATTCAAGTTTCTGTTCAATTTTGGGGTTATCCAAAGACTATTCGAGCATTAAAATCAATAATTTGATTGTCACGTTGGTCATGTATTAATTGTCGCCCTGTACTACACCGAACTGTTTGGCACATGCATGATTTGCATAGCTATACCTGTAGCCATGGGCGTCGCCAGGATGTTTTTCTAGAGGGGGGCAAAAAAAAATTTTGCCAAAAAATGCTTGTATTTCTCAACACATTCTCGATTTATCAGTTTTAGAGGGGGGCAGGGACATTTTGCCCCCCCCCCAACTCATTAAATTTACACCACTTTGTCTTCGCGCCTCTTTTTTTTTTTTTTTTTTGCTTTTCCAGGGGGGGGGGGGCAAGTGCCCCCTCTTGCCCCCCCCCCCCCCCCTCGCGACGCCCATGCCTGTAGCTTGATGGATTCAATTTGACAGGTAACAACTACATGTACAACCTTTAAGCTGATTGGTCTCACGCGGGTTGTTACAAACCGGGCGTGCTATGATGCCGGACTGTGTGGAGAACACCGAGCCACTGGCCTGATGAAAATTGAAGATCAGTCCAGCGCTTGATGCAAAACGAAAACAATTCACACAGCATCCGTACATGTATGTGATTTGTGAAGTTTTCGTTTTGCTGAAAGAACGCTTACCTTTTTGTGATCCGTGGACAAAACTTTAAAACTGCGGTTGTGTTTAAAATTCTGTTACTTGAAAATTAAAACATGATTGATTTGAATGATTTTTGTACTAAAAGAACTTCAACAGGTTATAGTAGCACCCGATAGAAGCAAAAGCGAAAGTATGTGTAGATGATGCTAGCGCTACAGCGTAGCAATATTATTCGAATCTCGGTCATCTCTACCCGTAAATAAATCATTGAGCGACGATGTGTATACCTACGGTAAAACCAGTGTTGTAGTCGAGTACTTTTTTCCGAGTATCATGTTTTTTCAAATGTAAACCAGGGCCCCCAGGAGAACAATTCATTGACAACTGATGGGGCAACCCTGGTGAAATAACACGAAATAAACACATAAATAAATAAATAAACAAGCAAATAGGATATGCTGCCAAACGATTAGACGAATTTGAATAGGGTAGGTCTGAACTTTTTGAGAACAGTTTTTAAAATACACAAATTGGATATGAAAGTGTTTAACTTACTTGTGGAACAGATTTTAACCAAGATAAATTGAATAATGATAGGCTAGTTTCGAACTTGTCCAACCGTTCTGAATAAATCGGATATTGGAAGTGAACCGCCAGTTATTGCCATCTAAAAAAGTAGAACATTGATGTAGGTACCAGTTAGCAAGTCAACCAATCAGATTACAAGGATGTATGCAGGTATTACACAAAACAAAATAATGAATGTTTCAGATTCGTGCAATGGAAAGAGTAATTTCATTAGGTGACGGAATGTTACGGTCAGATGTTTCATGGTATGCTTTGTGTACTCCATCCTTTTGTTAATTAAATAGTCCGATTATGTAATACGCTCGGCTTGCAGTTTGAACAATAAAATCACCCAGAGCGGGCAATTCAGAACCAGAAACGAGGTGGGGCAGGACGTGTTTTTGCCTGGCTCTCCTAGGATCGTGATACGGATGAAATGTTCCATTCCACTCGGCTTCGCCTTGTGGAATGGAATATTCACCTGTCACCTCATGAAATTATTCTTTCCATTGCAGTCACAAACATTCATTATTTGTAAACACTTAGGCCAAAAAAACCCAAACCGGTCTCTGGTCAGCGCGCGTGTCGATTTTAATCATGCGCGTCAACTTTTTTTTTCTTCGATTAACACGGAAGCTACAATAGCGCCCTCTATTGCTGCACCTCCTCAAATTTTTGTATCAAGGAGCACCAAGGTATGGGAAATTGCACCAAGGCAAATGATAAAGGACACCAAGGCAAAATATGGAGGACACCAATGTATAATGAGGACACAAAAGAGCAAAATAGTACCCACCTTGTCTGTACAATTCAAGCTTGAAAAAAAAAAAAGCAAAAAAAAAAAAAAAAACGCGTTGCCGCATCAATTCCGGAACTTCGGTCTGACCAGAGACCGACTATTTTTTTTGGCCTTATTCCAAGTGCGGTACTTATTAAACATTTCAACTTTGAAGAAAATTAAAGGATTACATAATTGAGCTTTATTCAGGCGACAATTTCGGGCTCTAATGAAAGCATGTGGACTTGTTCCTGTAACCGATCGATTTGAAGACTGCACTTGTGGGATTGGTTCAGACTTTGTCCTTAAAAAAATCAGTCGCCATTCCAATTTTCAATGTAGTTATTCCTGAATCAAAAACTGTGGACCTGTTTGGTGAAGGTTAATTTTTGCTTTATGTGCATATAATCTGCGCTTTAATCTTTGTGTTTCCTAACATGGTGATATGGATTGGTTTGGTATAGCTGAATATCATAACTAGCTAATTATGTTGAGTAATATGGAACATTTAAAAAACAAACAATCAACATTCCACTTTTTACTCCATAGTCTAAACAGTAATTGGAAACTTTTTTTAAAATTTTCTTGTTAACGTTTTGTCATTCTGATTTTTTTTTAACAAAACAAAAGTTTAGGGGATAAGAGCAATATCTTGTTTGAAGGATATTTTTAAAATGTAACATAAAGCATACCTGTACAAGTTTGCTTATTATTAAAAGGTCAGCTTAATCCCTCAGGGGTTA